TCACCATTGGATTCTCGCATCGAGATCTTCAAAACTAGATCCCATGTTGATAGGTTTTGATGAACTTTTTTTTCACAAAAAACCGGACAAAAAAACCGAACCAGAAGCACGGTTTTTTCCCTTTCCGAAAGAGGCACGCCCGTGCCTCTCGCGAAATCATGCGCGTGCCTCTCGTGGAAGCAAAACCGTAACTCTCGTGGAAGGAAAAAAACAGAAATCACGTTTTTTTTCGTTTCCGAGAGGCACGGCCGTGACTCTCGCGAAAGCACAACCGTGCCTCTCGTGAAAGCAAAATCGTGACTCTCGTGAAAAAAAAACAGAAAACGCGTATTTTTTCCCTTTCTGAGAGGCACGGCCGTGACTTTCGCAAAAGCACAACCGTGCCTCTCGCGAAAGCAAAACCGTGACCCTCGCGAAAGAAAAAAAAACAGAAAACGTGTTTTGTTTTCCCTTTCCGAGAGGCACGGCCGTGACTCTCGCGAAAGCACAACTGTGCCTCTCGCGGAAGCACAACCGTGCCTCTCGCGGAAGCAAAACCGTGACTCTCGCGAAAGAAAAAAAAAAATGAAAACGCGTTTTTTTCGTTTCTGAAAAGCACAACCGTGACTTTCGCTAAAGCACAACCGTGCCTCTCGCGGAAAAAAACCATGACTTTCGCGAAAGAAAACAAAAGAAATTTTTGTGCGAATTTTTTTTTCTATCGAAAAGCTAAGGAAGACCGGGGAAAACCAAAACGTCAAAAGAACCCGAAAAAAACGTTTAAAAAGCCGAAAACGTGTGCGAAAAAATAAATAAATAAAAAGGTCCGGAGGGAGCGTCCAGAGTGCGACACGTGGCGAATGATTGAGAGCGCGCCAAATGACGCTGATCGTTGCAAGGCTCCCGAAGGAGCGCTCGTTAACTAGTTGCTCCCTTAAAATAGACCGGGATTAAAGAGTTTGGTGTGTTAATTTAAGGGATTAAGAGTTCAGGGTTTGGTTTAACTTTCGCCTATCAATTCAAGGTTTGTTTTGAACTTTTTCCTTAAAAGAACCAGCTAAGCAACCATGAGTGACCAAACAAATGGGCTGGCACATTACTGTAGCGTACAGGGAAATCCTCCATGTGAGAGCTTCCGTTTTGCTATAAGCTGAGAATTCCTAATTGGCGTGTTAAATTTCTTTTTCTTAGAGACAAATTTGGCGTGATAAGTAGCGCTCACGCAGTAGTAGATGGGTCAGCTCAGTTTTTTTCTTTCAAAAATGGTTAACAGGTGGGCCCGCAACTGTTGACCGGACCACCAACGACCACTGACCATTGACCGTGGATTGACTTTAGCAAAAAGGAAAAAGTTCTCAAAAATGAAAAAAAAAGTTTGAAAATTTGAGAAAAGACTAACAAATTCAAGAAAAAGTTCAAGAAATTTGAAGAAAGTACATGAAATCTGAAAGAAAATAACAAATTTGAGAAAAATGGACATTTCATAATTTGGAAAAAGTTCACAAAAATGAAAAAATCTCATGAATTTGAAAACAAATGTTCACAAATTATTTGAAAAAAGTTTGTAATGTGAAAGTTTAGCAATTTGAGAAAATAAATCATGAATTTAAGAAATATAAAGTTTACGATATATTGAAAAAGTTTTCAATGTGGAAATAAGATCACGGAATTTGTGAAAAGTCAGCGAAATTGATAAAACAAAAAACAAAAAAAGAAGGAAAAACAAAAAACGATAAAGAAAAAAGTAATGGAAATGGAAATGGAAAAAAACGAGAAACCGGTAAAGAAAATAGATGAACCGGCCCAGTTAGCTACCAGTGTGCGCGGCTTTGTTGAAATGCTTTCCAGTGACGCAACACACAGTAAATAGGATTGGTGCATATAGCTGGCCAATCCTATTGGGCGCAGGGATCATTAGTGACCGCCCTCCCCTCCCCTCACCCTGCTCCCACATATACATTTTTTAGCCGGCCTAGTCTTTTTCCTGGTTTTGAGAAGGTTCTAAAACGTTCTCAGACCAGGTTTTATGACTTTTATTGTGTTTTTTCTGCCTTTTTTGTTATTTTCTTGATTTTTCGTTTTCGTTTTATATATCTTTATGGTCTTTTTTATTTCTTTTTTAAAACTTGTTTTCCTTTTCTTTTTTGAACATCTTTTTCTAAATTTCTGAACATTTTTTCTGAAATCATTAATACACTTTGAAATCATGGATATTTTTCAAATTTGTGAATATTTTTTATGTATTCATGAACATTTTTCAAATTCACGAAATTTTTGTACAAATTCATGAAGCCTTTTTAAAATCATTGGCATTTTTTGAATTACCGAACACTTTGTTTTCAAATTGTGAAGATTCTTTCAAATTTGTGAACAATTTTTAGAATCTGCAAAAAAAATTGGAATTGTCAAAAAAAGGGTGACATTTTTGGTAATGCATGATTTTTTTCGAATTGATGAACATTTTTTGAATCAACCAACATATTTTGAATCGATGAACTGTTTTATAATTCATGAGTATTTTTCTGAACATTAAAAAATTCATGAACATGTTTGAATCTGCAAACATTTGTTCAATTTTTTGAATTTTTATTGAATTCGTGGATATCTTGGGAAATCATGAACATTGTTTGAATATGTGAAAAAACATCAATCCTGAGAACATTGTTTGAATTCAAAAAAATCAAACTCATGAATATTTTTTGGAAATTCGATTTTTGTTTTGGAATCCCAAGCATTATTTTAAATTCAGAACTGTTTTTAAACCCTGAACAATTTTATACAAGGAAAAAAACACAAAATGAAACAAAAATATAGGGGCTCCTCGCTCGCCCCCA